TCTCTAGGCTTCCTTAACTTGTTAATCTCACTCCAAAACTTTTTCTTATTTTCAACAAAATTTGTTGATAACATCTCACCCACTCTCTCATTTGCTCTCTTTTTACATTGCTCTCTCTTTTTCTCCATATACTCTTCCCTCCTTGCATCACTTCTACTTTGTTAAAACTCCTCATATGCTAACTTTTTCTCTTTACATCATTCCACCAATCGCTCCTCTTCCCTCCTGCACCCACTTTCCTGTAACCACAAACTTCTGCTGAGCACTCTAACACTACATTTTTAAACCTACCCTATACCTCTTCGACCACATTGTCTATGCTCTCATTAGCCCATCTTTCCTCCAATAACTGTTTATATCTTTCCCTAACTGCCTTCTCTTTTAGTTTATAAACCTTCACCTCTCTCTTTTTTTTTTTTTTTACACAGGGTTTGACAAGGTTAAGGATCCCTAGCTTTATTGACAGCTATATTACAGGCTAAGGATTCCTAACTTTATTGGCAAGCTAAGAGCTGTTACCTACATCAGCTCATTTGAAAGCATTTTTATTGTTATGAGACATACAAGTAGGGAACAGGATGAAGTTGGAGCCATCTGTGGGCCAGCATTTTCATTTGATCAACTGACTTTATCTCGTTGACATCATTATGCTGTACGAATGTGTTCCATACTCGAGTCATCCTGGGTTTTGTATGATCTCAGTGGAGTGATGTTCTGGAGAAGGGTAAGCCAGAGTGAAGTTGCTGCTTTCTGCCCGTCTTGTGGCATAAAGCTTGTTTCACGCTGTCCTCGAAGTGGATCCAAGTGTGGTATTTTAAACAATATTGGCCTTGTACATAACAGTAAGGCCACCCACATCCCTCCTATGTTAAAGGCTCTGCTGAAAGACAGATCATCCAGGATGGGTCCAGGCGAGGGGATGAGACGTCTTGCTCTGTTCTCTACTCTGTCAAGCAGTCGCAGATGAGAGGGGGGGGGCAGGCAAAACCAAGAAAGTGGAGCATACTAAAAGGTGTGAGCGTACTTGTGCCTCATCAGGATCTTGCAACCCCTACTGTCAAGCAGATGCGAGAACGGCGAAGTGCTGTAAGCTTCCTGGCTGCCTTGTTTGAAAGATTTACAACATGTTCTCATGGTTAGTTTGGAGTTCAAATTTCACCCAAGGATATCAACTTCTTCTCCAGGTGCCAACATCTCCCATTCATCCTTACTACTGCACCAGCATTACCATCATGGTCCCTTTAGAGACGATCATCATTTGCGTTTTCTCAGGTGCAAAGTTACTTGCCATCTATTTCCCAAGCTGATATAGGCTCAGCTGGTGATTGATGTAGCTTAGAGCAGCTGGCATTTCTTCTCTTGGATAAGTGAATGTCAGTGTACAGTCATTGCCATATGCAGGGTGATTCTGGGATGAGATGAAGAAGGTCGTTGAAGTAGACATTCCAAAAACAATGGACCCAGCACGCTTCCTTGTGAAACGTTTTGCCCCAATAGGATGCCTTGCTGATTCTGTTCCATTGAGGACTACACTTAGAGATCTACATGTAGGTAATCACTGAGGAGACATAGTGTAGAGCCTGCAATTCCCAGTGCTTGAAGTTTTGCTAAGAGGCCCTGGTGCCACACCCGGTCGAAAGCACCAGCAATGTCCAGTGCTACCACACAGCTGACTTTGGATTCACCCAGTGACTGGTGCCATTTAGTGGAAGGTTTAACACAGATGCTTCCCTGATGCTTCTATTCTCCTTGTACCCCATCTACCTTTTACTCTCAGTGTAGCTACAACTAGAAAGTGATCTGAAATATCTGAGTATCTTGTATACTTATTTATCCTCTTTTTCTTAAAATATGTATTACCTATAACTAAACCCTTTCTATACAAAGTTCAATCAAAGGGCTCCCATTATCATTTACACCTGGCACCCCAAACTTACCTAACACACCCTCTCAAAAAGTTTCTCCTACCTTAGCATTCAGGTCCCCTACCACAATTACTCTCTCACTTGGTTCAAAGGCCCCTATACATTCATTTAACATCTTCCAAAATCTCTCTCTCTCCTCTGCACTCCTCTCTTCCCCAGGTGCATACACGCTTATTTTGACCCACTTCTCGCATCCAACCTTTATTTTAAAATCCAATAATTCTTGCATTTACACTTTCATATTCTCTTTTCTCCTTCCATAACTGATCATTAAAACATTACTGCTCCCCCTTCCTTTGCTCAAAACTCTCTCAGATACTCCAGATTTAATCCCATTTATTTCCCCCCACTAAAATTCTCCTCCCCCCTTCAGCTTTGTTTCGTTAGGGCCAGGATATCCAACTTTTTTTCATTCATAACATCAGCAATCATCTGTTTCTTGTCATCCGCACTACATCCACGCACATTCAAGCATCCCAGTTTTATAAGTTTTTCTTATTCTCTTTTTTAGTAAATGTCTACAGGAAAAGGGGGTTTTACTAGCCCACTGTCCCGGCATTTTAGCCGCCTCATACGACACCCATGGCTTACAGAGGAAAGATTCTTTTCCACTTCCCCATGGACAATAGAAGAAATAAAGAAGAACAAGAGCTATGTAGAAAAAGGAGAAAAACCTAGATGTATGTATTATATATATATATATATATTATATATATATATATATATATTAATATATATATAATATATATATATGCATATGCGTGTCTGTGAAGTGTGACCAAAGTGTAAGTAGGAGTAGCAAGATATCCCTGTTATCTAGCGTGTTTATGAGACAGAAAAAGAAACCAGCAATCCTACCATCATGCAAAACAGTTACAGGTTTCTGTTTCACAGTCATCTGGCAGGATGGTAGTACTTCCCTGGGTGGTTGCTGTCTACCAACCTACTCGAAAAATATATAAATTAATTATTAAAAAAATATATAGAAAAATAATTTTACAAGTAAGATACATATTTTCATGAGGTGAGATGGAAGACGAAGTCACAGTAAGAGATAACATTCTAACATCCCTACCCTAGTCGTACAGAAATCATACTTGTCCACTATGGGAAACTGATCAGGGACACGTCTAGCTCTAGGCGACGATGGTCTCACTGAATCAGTTAAGTTCAAGCTTTCGGGGGAGACTGAACATATTTCGTTACTCTTGGAGATTTGTGTTTGAAAATAGGCAACAGATATTTGAGACTGCGGCAACATATATGAAAGTAATGACTTAATTGTTGCTGCTTGTGGAAGCTAGCTGCGATGGGCTAGTTTTACTTGAAACCAAAGTGCAGTCAAGTAGTGTCCGTTATGATGGATCGATTTGTGGTTAAACAAAAATGCAATAGTGATGAAGAGCCATCCCAGACCTGACCAGTAGAAAAGGAGGATGGAGGGGAAACGAGTGGTCAACAAGGAGACTGTGAGGGACAGGTAACCAAAAAGAGAAAGGTACGAGCGATACAAGTTGAACACAGAAAATTTCAAGAGAAATGAACGGAAGAATTTGCCTTCATGCTTCATGATACAAATTCATTATGTTTAATTTGTCAAAAGGTGTGTTCTGGTTTCAAACGTAGAAATTTAGAACATCATCTCAAAACAACATATCCAAACCTCAATAAGATGTACCCACCTGGGAGTAGCATGAGAAAAAAAAATTGAGCAACTTACTGCCTTGATAGTAGGACAGCAAAAACTGATTCACAGATCGACCTCTACTGCTGAAAATTTGAAATTGCATGGATCTTGGCTAAGCATAAGAAGGTCTTCACAGATGCAGAGATAATTAAAGAGTGTTTTTTGGCCTCGTCTGAAATAATGTACGCTGACTTTAATAACAAAGATGAAATCATAAAGCAAATTAGAGGACTACAGCTATCAGACACAACAGTAATGAGAAGGGTAGAAGAACAGCAGCTACCACACTTCTGCTCATCACAGCTTAAGTAAGTTTGGTCTTGATTTTGCTATTAATAACAAGATATGCAGGCTAATATTACCATATCTAATTTTTCTCATTTACTATATTGCACTAGCAGCTCAGTACTACTTAATTTAGTTGAGTTACGCTAATTTGCAGTAGCTGCGGCTCTCTCAATCAATGTGTTTAACGGAAGAGGCTCTCTTGTAAAATTAGTGAATAACACTGTCTCAATGCGACCAATTATGTAAGTGTGTTTGTACGTTTGTACGTGTATGTTTGGGGGTCTGAAATGGACTAATCTAATTCACAATATACCTTATGGGAACAAATTCGTTCAGTACTGGCATCTTTACATACTTCTGGAATGAAATAATATCATAAACCAGGGGGCCAACTGTATTAGATTTACTGTTATGCAGACTACTGAATTAGTTTAGAAATGGTATAAATAATATCAGCGCACTTGTGAAAGAATATAAGACTCACCAGTTGACGTGTATTGGACGCGTGGCATAATTTGTTTACTTTTGAACTTTGGCAAAAAATCGAACATTGTGAAACCAATCAAATTCATCTCAATTTCTGTAATATGTCTTCCATTCTATAAAATGAGACCAGGAAAACTAGAATACAACCATAAATAGCACATGAAAATACACTGCAGTAGCTGTTTCAAACCAAAAACATGGTCGGAGTTTTTTTTTCCTCATTATGCACTGTGTGCTGCAGGATTCTTTTATACTGTGCACACTAACCACATAGACCCATTCTTTCATATGTAGGCCTACCTGCTTTCTCTCGCTAGATTTAAAGGTGCTAGAATTTATGGGTACTAGTACGGCACCAACCCTAGCGTGCAAGCCATATTAGTATGGCACCAACCCTGGCGTGCAAGCCATATTAGTACGGCACCAACCCTGGCATGCAAGCCATATTAGTACAGCACCAACCCAGAAAGTGTTAAGATTCTACATAGATTAGTAAATGTTAAAAAATTAAATCCATCAAAAATATTTGAAAAGACAATAAGTGACAATAATAAAATGCTTGCAACTTTTACAAAAAATCCTATATAAATATTTGATGAAAATGAACACAAATGTCTGCAAGAACACTATAATTTATATTCTTAGCATAATATTTACATTTGTTCTTCTCAATTATTACATTTTATATTTCCTTTAAGGAAAAGGATATGTAAACTAGAAACAGAAAGGCACTCCCTATGCAGGTAAAGGCAAAGAATAACAGAGTGGCTAAAAGAGGCCAACATATCTGTAATACATATAGAGACACTGGTCAGAGAAATAGTAAACATTGAATTTAATCTAAAGGAGTCTTACAGGAGTCAAGATATGTGGGAAGAACTAAAAGCCATAAATGAAACTGAAAGAAACCCAAAATATTTCTTTTATGCCAAATCGATGTCAAGAACAAAATCCAGTATTGAGCACCTACTTAAACGAGATGGGTGCTACACAGATGACAGTAAGGAAATGAGTGAACTACTCAAGTCCCAGTATGACAGAGTTGAAGACCAAAATGAATTTTTTTTTAAGACAGAATTTCATAAACTTGAACCTATCTGATTTTATCCTGATGCCAAATGATTTCGAAAAGGCACTCTCAACACTGTTATGGTATATCCCTTTTATATATTCTCATGAGTTTATAGCTAAAATATTCCTGAAACATTAACATTAACACGTTTTATCTCCCGAATGTGCTTGTGAATGCCTCACAAGATGACCTTGTACACTAAAACATATGAGACCCTTAGCACATTGATATAGTTTATCTCCTGTATGTACTCGCATATGTCTCACAAGATTGCCTTTTCACTAAAACATTTCAGACAGCACATTGATATGGTTTATTTCCCATATGTACTCTCATATGTGCCACAAGACTGCTTTTTTCAATAAAACATTTCAGACACTATGAACATTTATATGTTTTCTCTCCTGTATGTACTCTCATATGTGTCACAAGACTGCTTTTTTGACTAAAATATTTCGGACACTCTGAACATTGATATGGTTTCTCTCCTGTATGTACTCTCATGTGTGTCACAAGTTTGCTTTTTTGGCTAAAACATTTCAGACACTCTGAACACTGATATGGTTTCTCTCCTGTATGTACTCTCACATGTTCCACAAGACTGCTTTTGTGACCAAAACATTTCAGACACTCTGAACATTGATATGGTTTCTCTCCTGTATGTACTCTCATGTGTGTTACAAGACTTCTTTTTTCACTAAAACATTTCAGACATTCTGAACATTGATATGGTTTCTCTCCTGTATGTACTCTCATATGTGTCACAAGTCTGTTTTTTTCAATAAAACATTTCAGACACTCTGAACATTGATATGGTTTCTCTCCTGTATGTACTCTCATGTGTGTCACAAGACTTCTTTTTTCACTAAAACATTTCAGACATTCTGAACATTGATATGGTTTCTCTCCTGTATGTACTCTCATATGTGTCACAAGTCTGTTTTTTTCAATAAAACATTTCAGACACTCTGAACATTGATATGGTTTCTCTCCTGTATGTACTCTCATATGTCTCACAAGACTTTTTTTTTCACTAAAAAATTTCAAACTTCTGAACTTTTATATGGTTTCTCTTTGTATGTACTTCTATGTGTGTCACAAGTCTGTTTTTTTCAATAAAACATTTCAGACACTCTGAACATTGATATGGTTTCTCTCCTGTATGTACTCTCATGTGTGTCACAAGTCTGTTTTTTTGACTAAAACATTTCAGACACTCTGAACATTGATATGGTTTCTCTCCTGTATGTACTCTCATATGTGTCACAAGTCTGTTTTTTTGACTAAAACATTTCAGACACTCGGAACATTGATAGGGTTTCTTCCTGTATGTACTCTCATATGTCCCCACAAAGACTTTTTTTTTCACTAAAAAATTTCGACACTCTGACATTGATAGGTTTATGTTTTTTGTCTTTCCAATTTTTTTAATGAAGGTATTTATTTAAAATTTTAGTCATACAACAGTTGGTATAGTTAATTTTCCTTATGTTTCTCCATGTCTATTTCATGATTTTTTTAATTATTTTGGGACACTGACACTAGTTTTCTTTTTGAAAAAATCCTATTTTAAGTTTTATTCAGGGAAAACTTTTTCCTATTATTTAGTGCTAATAAAGTTTAATTGTGTAAAAACACTACATAATTTTGTTTTGTGTAAAATATTAATATATGTACTAAGCACTGAGATTTCACCCAAAGACATTTTTATTATTATTTGCTCTTGTGTTTAAAAATTTTTTTTTGAAAAATTTTAATTACAGAATTACGAACTTTTTTTTTTCATTAACCCTTTGAGGGTTCAGACTCCCAATTTGAAAATTCCCAACAAAGTCCAAAAATCTAAAAAAAAAAATTATTTTTTTTCTTGTGAAATGGTAGAGATTTTTTTCTGAAGGTAATAAAACAAAAGGTATTAAATTTGATCAAGAATTTATGAAGTTATGCTCCATGAATGTTCCTGTATAAGAAATATTTATGCATTGGCAATTTTACCCACTTTGAGTCTTGTTTTGCAATTACATTGATTGTTAGACCAATTCTTATCTATTTTGCTAGTATGTGTTCCAATGCAGGCATTCCTGGTGCTAAACTAACATTTCCACTATTTATTAGTTACATTTCCAGGCTTTACAAATTAATTTGATTTTTATTTTTTATTCACAGATAATTTTTATTCACACACACAAAAAAAAAATAACTGTTATGCAATATTGTAATATTGTATAAATAATACAGCACATTCAGGAATGCACATTTGACCACCATTGGCTATATTGACCGTGATGCATTTGTTTATCGTCTAAGATTTGCAAATAAATTTTTTTGTTACCTGAAACTCAGTTTCAGGCTATTTTCAGTACTAAAACCTAAACAAAATCATTTCTGTAATACATCTCAAATTTTATCAATTGAGGGCCCTAAATAGTGAAATTGCTACCATAAAAACCAAATGAAAAAACACTGAAAATTTGCTGTTAATCCAAAAAAAATTGTTTTTTTTTCTCATCATGACTGTGTGCTGCAGGATTTGTTTTATATGATGCACACTTTCCATATTATGCATTCTTCATATTTAGCCCAAATTATGTCACAGCTTAACTGAGTAAGCTGACAATTTGTGTACTACAGCTTGGGCCGACTTAAAATTCATAGAACTACAAATGGATCTCAAAAATTAACTGCCATTCATTTTTAGATTAATTCCCAAATGAAAAGGCAAAATTGTTTAATTAGTAAGCATAGCTGGTAAAAATTTCACAAGATAACAGATGCTGCCTTTCTTGGGAATACTGAAGATAAGTGTCTGCAAGACAACCTGGCAGCTTCTGCAAAATACTTTTGCAATATCGTTTTTTGTTCAAGCACAACACTGGTGCTTCTTAAAATACTGAAATATATTGTTGTAGAACAACCTGGTAGTCTCTGCAAAATCTTCTGCATATCAGTTGTGTTCAAACACTAACACTGGTGCTTCTAAAGTATGAAATAATAGTGTCTGGTAAGACAACAACTGGTTCTTCTGCAAAATTTCTTCTGCAATACAGTTGTTTTCAAGACACTAACACTGGTGCTTCTTAAAGTACTGAAGATATAGTGTCTGGCAAGACACAACCTGGTAGTCTTCTGCAAAATACTTCTGCAATATCAGTTGTTGTTCAAGACACTAACACTGGTGCTTCTTAAAGTACTGAAGATATAGTGTCTGGTAAGACACAACCTGGTTTGTCCTTCTGCAAAATACTTCTGCAATATCAGTTGTTTTCAAGACACTTACACTGGTGCTTCTTTTGAGTACTGAAGATATAGTGTTGGTAAGACACAACCTGGTAAATCTTCTGCAAATACTTCTGCAATATCAGTTGTTGTTCAAGACACTTACATGGTGCTTCTTTGAAGTATGAAAATATAGTGTCTGGTAAGACACAACCTGGTAGTCTTCCCAAAATATTTCTGCAAAAAGAAAACATGAGTCAAATAAAAGTAAAATATTCCAAATTTTCAACAAAACATACTGAACTAAAATAATTTTTATCTATTGTGCATGTTTTCACTAAATAAATTGTCCCTTTTAATTTTTTATCTGTAAGATCTTCAGATAAATCACAAATTTCATATGGGTAGACCACAGGCAATCAGTTGTGGTGGTGAATAACTGGCGGATGTTGTGCCCCGGCGCAGTATATGCAAAAAAGCCAGGTTGGACCCACGCGCGAATCAAACAGATCCAAGACAAATTTGGAGCATCATCCACCATCACACCCCAACCAAAACTACAACCACAACAAAGCTTTATGTGTGCTGTATCCACCGCAAACTGCATCTGGGATTGGAACACAATCCCAATTTTGATCCAAATCCCCATCAGCTTGATGACATTGAGTGGAATCTGCCAGTTTTTTTTCCCTTGGAAACAGGAAATGAATTGAATTCTTTGAACTATTATTGATAGCCCTTGATGAAAAATATGTCAGGGAAAGTATTTTGATATTTGTCACACCATGACAAATAGAATCACAACACCACAGTCCAAGACACACCGGTTTGGAAAGAGACAACTGTGGGCTGAAATGTATAATTTTTTTTTTTTGCAACAATAATTTCTTATGCCTTATGTCTTTAAAGCATATTAAAAAATACTTGTCAGAGATCGGCTAATTTCTACCCCAGACTTCAGTGAACAGATTTATCTTACTGTTATGTATGTTGCACTTCTCTGGCACAACAAGGCATGACACAAATGACAGGTTATACAAGATTAGAAATGTTTTTATGCATCTGAAACAAAAGTTCAACATGTACTTTAATCCATTTAAGAATCTTGTAACTGACAAGTCTTTGATTTTGTTCAAAAGGCAGATTGTCTTTCAAGCAGTATATACCAGCAAAGAGGAAATGCTTTGATATAAAACTGCTTGTACTCTGTGACTGTGAAAGTGGCCTGGTATTGACATAATTGTCGACATGGGAAGTAAAACATTAAAAGATACCAGTATGTTAATTGGTATCTCAGGTGATGTAGAGAGAACAATGAAGGCACCATATCTTGGTAAGGGGCATACATTATATACTGATAATTGGTGCACAAGCCCCTTTCTCAGTGAGTTCTTGTGAGTTAACATGACAGAAGTGTGTGGCACAGTGCTTTCTAAACATCAACATATTCCCAGGTTCACGACAGGCACTCATAGTGGTGAAGTGCAGGTGTTGGCTGCAATGACATAATGCCATTAAAGTGGCATGACAAAGGAGATGTCACACTGATGACATCTGTGAGGGAAAAGTTCAACAGATAGGAGTAGCGAGCGAGTATATGGTAACGATAGTTTGATTGCTGGCTGCTTGTTAAGGTAGGGTCAGTCTAGTTCCCGCTATCCCCTCCCCCCTTTTTCCTACCGAAAGGTGACGTTTAGGGCTCCGGCCAAACAGTATTCACTGGACTCACAGCTTCCAGCACAACTCTTGGAATGACAGATTGGGTCACCTGCCAACCAACGAGAAGTGTTGAAGGAGACGGGCTAACGTCCAGGGACTTCACTGTCTGAACTACCTACCTGATTCACTGGACGCCACCGCAGGCCACAACCCCTCATCTTTGCAGTGGTAAAGAACCTGCATTCCTGTCATCCGGACTGACTATTCAAGGTTGGACACTCTGTGCAGAAGTAGTCTTTGGATTGCCACTCAACACCTGTGACCCCCCCCCCATCATCATCAAAAATGGCTATAATTTCTACAAGACTGTATCAACATCAACCAGACACCCAAGTTTAATTGTATATATATTAGCACTGAATTCAGATATCACTTATATTTTTCTTTTTCATTTTTCTTTAAAGTAGGATAAATATTTCATATTTAAGTATTTTATATTTTCATTTCTAAATAATAAAGTGTTTATGTTTGTCAGTTTTTATTCTTTTTCTATCCATTAATTTTCCTGAGGAAGAGCCAGCCTTGGTAATATTGACTGAAGTTGTTACAGGGCTGAGTAAGCCTTCACAAGTGGCGACCTTGCCAGGATCACCTCGACTGAATAAGGATTCAACTCTATCTCGAATCTACCATTGGAACTTCAACGCCACATACCACAGACGGTTACCACCAGCAATGAGTAATCATTCTCTATGGTAGGACTACAGTGCAGGTATTTAAAAGATTTGGTGATTGTTATAGTTTCAATTTATTGTAAGTCAAGTCAAGGCAGGATATACTAGTTAATTCTGTCACCTTTGTGAGCTTGAAGTGACTTGGAGGAATAGACTCTAATGACCTGAGATTTTCCAGTGACAATTTGTTTCATTGAGCTCTTTATTATATCAAGGGAACTGTCATAAGACACTCTTGATTTGTTGGTGAGAAGATTGGATGGTCAAGGGACCCCATTCTACTTACTGTTTGCTCAGAGCCGGCATAGAACCCTTCGTTTTCATTAACACATATTGTTTAATCAAAGCAGGGATTGAGCCCTCTGGTTTATTTACAGTTTGAGCGGAGCAGGAATTGAACACTCCATTTTCTTTGATACCCATTTCATTTTCCC